AGGAGAGAGGAGCTCAGTGCATCATGGGAAATCCCCCGGCAGTCTAGGCCTATAGCAGCATAACTAAGGGATGGTTCAGGACTACCTGAGCCAGCCCTAACTATAAGCTTTATCAAAGAGGAAAGTCTTAAGCCTACTCTTAAATGTGGAGATGGTGTCTGCCTCCTGAACCCAAACTGGAACTGGAGCTTGATAGCTGAACGCTCTGGCTCCTAGTCTACTTTTGGAGACTCTAGGAACCACAAGTAACCCTGCATTCTGGGAGCGCAGTGCTCTGGTGGGGTAGTAAGGTACTATGAGCTCTTTAAGATAAGATGGTGCCTGACCATTAAGAGCTTTGTAGGTAAGAAGAATGATTTTAAATTCTATTCTGGATTTTACTGGAAGCCAATGCAAAGAAGCTAAAACAGGAGAAATGTGATCTCTTTTCCTGGTTCCTGTCAGAACACGTGCTGCAGCATTCTGGATCAGCTGAAGAGTCTTAATGGACTTTTTCGAGCAGCCTGATAATAAGGAATTGCAGTAATCCAGCCTAGAAGTAACAAATGCATGGACTAGTTTTTCTGCATCATTTTTAGACAGGATGTTCCTGATTTTCGCAATATTACGTAGGTGAAAAAATGCGGTCCTTGAAATTTGCTTAATGTGAGACTTAAACGACATGTCCTGATCAAAGATAACTCCAAGATTCCTCACAGTGGTGCTGGAGGCCAAGGCGATGCCATCCAGGGAAACTATATCTTTAGATAATGCGTCACGGAGGTGCTTAGGCCCCAGAGCAATAATTTCAGTTTTATCTGAGTTTAACATTAGAAAATTACAGGTCATCCAGGTTTTAACATCCTGAAGGCACATTTGAAGTTTAGCTAACTGATGAGTTTCATCTGGCTTGATCGATAGATATAACTGAGTATCATCTGCATAACAATGAAAGCTTATGGAATGTTTCCTGATAATATTGCCTAAAGGAAGCATATATAAAGTGAAGAGGATTGGTCCAAGGACAGATCCTTGAGGAACTCCATGAGTAACTTTGGCGTGCATGGAGGACTCATCGTTAACATGTACAAACTGAAATCGATCTGATAAATAGGACTTAAACCAGCTTAGAGCGGTTCCTTTAATGCCAATGAAATATTCCAGTCTCTGCAATAGGATCTGATGGTCAATGGTATCAAATGCAGCACTAAGATCTAATAAAACCAGTACAGAGACAAGTCCTTTGTCTGATGCAATAAGGAGGTCGTTAGTAATTTTCACCAGTGCTGTCTCTGTGCTATGATGAGCTCTAAATCCTGACTGAAAATCCTCAAATAAACTATTGCTCTGTAGAAAGTCACACAGCTGTTTAGCAACTGCTTTCTCCAGAACCTTAGAGAGAAATGGAAGGTTAGATATAGGTCTATAGTTGGCTAAAACATCCGGATCAAGTTTGGGCTTTTTCAGAAGAGGTTTAATTACAGCTACTTTAAAGTACTGTGGTACATAGCCTGTTGATAAAGATAGATTGATCATATCTAGTATAGAGGTGCTGACTAAGGGTAGAACATCTTTAAGCAGCCTAGTCGGGATGGGGTCTAAGAGGCAGGTTGATGATTTAGATGAAGAAATTATTGAAGTTAGTTGGTAAAGATTGAGGGAAGCAAAACAGTCTAAACATGTATCTGGTTCTACAGCTGTTTCAAAGGTTCCTGAGTTAAGAGATAAGTCGGTGCCAATTGAGGGCAGGTCTTGGTGAATTTTGTCTCTAATAGCTAGAATTTTATTATTAAAGAAGCTCATGAAATCGTAACTACTGAGAGCTATGGGAATACTTGGCTCAATAGAGCTGTGACTCTCTGTCAGCCTGGCTACAGTGCTGAAAAGAAACTTTGGGTTGTTCCTATTTTCCTCTATTAATGACGAGTAGTACGCTGCTCTTGCATTACGGAGGGCCTTCCTATAAGTTTTAAGACTATCTTGCCAAATTAAACGAGAATTTTCCACTTTGGTAGAATGCCAATTCCTCTCAAGTTTCCGTGATATTTGCTTTAATTTGAGAGTTTCAGTATTATACCATGGAGCTAACCGTCTTTGTTTTAGTATTTTCTTTTTTAGAGGGGCTACAGAGTCGAGTGTCATTCGCAGCGAGCCTGCAGCATTATCAACAAGATGATCGATTTGGGAGGGACTGAAATTAGCATAGGAGTCCTCCGTTACTTTGTGACTAGATAATGAATTTAGAGCTGATGGAATCGCATCCTTAAATTTAGCTATGGCACTATCAGACAGACATCTTGTATAGAAATTTTTGCCCAATGGCGAGTAGTTCAGCAATACAAACTCAAAAGTTATCAAACAGTGGTCGGACAAAGAGGGATTCTGTGGGAACACTATTAAATGTTCAATTTCAATACCATACACCAAAACAAGGTCGAGGGTGTGGTTAAAACAGTGAGTCGGTTCATGAACACTCTGAGAGAAGCCGATGGAATCTAACAGAGAGATAAACGCAGTACTGAAGCTGTCATTCTCAACATCCACATGAATATTAAAATCTCCTACAATAATAACTTTGTCCGTTTTAAGGACTAAAGTTGAAAAAAACTCTTCTTTTCTGTTTTTACTGGCGCATTGCTAAACTTCTTACCACATCCAACTGTCAGTTTGTGTCAGACTGCTAAACAGTGCTGCATCGAACTTCATCAAAGTGTCTTTAACGTCTTTAACTTCAGAAGTCCAGTGGCTTGTTTTGTTCATAAACGGAAAAAACATCATCCATTTTCCTTTGGTGAGGTATATTTGAGACTTTTATTAATTCGAGCAAACTGCAGACATTGTCCGAATTCATCAAAGCCAAAAACAGAGGAAAAAGTGAATATAAAAAAAAAAGGTCTTTTCCCCACTAACAGTCTCGGTTGGGTCTGTGTCTGCAGTGACAACTTGTGAAAGTTGTAAAAAAAACCTACTCCGTTGTAGTTCTTTGCAAAATGTCTAGAAATTTACACTACATATCTTTAAAATACATTTTCTCAAAATTATTTTTTTCTCATTCTCTCCGTCCCCTACAAATGCCAAACCTTTCTTATTCTTACCTATATTCTTTCTATAAGCTTTTTACACAGGTGGTTGTTTATATATCATCCATAGCCCGATTTATATAACATCCATCCATCCATCGTCAACCGCTTATTGACGATGGATGGATGGATGCATACAGGGTCGCTGGGAGCTGGAGCCAATCCCAGCTGACATCGGGTGAAAGGCGGGGTACACCCTGGACAGGTCACCAGTCCATTATATAACATTTTGTTCCTAATAATATGATGAAATGTTATTCATTTTTATGACTGTTGAGGATTAGATTTATTGAGTGATAAAAACAGATATTCCCTTTATAAAACTTTTTACTATAATATGTCACTAAAATGAAAGAAGAGTTTGGACCTTTATTTTTATTTAGATAATACCTAATTTGCACATACGTATAAACAAAATATTTCAGAAACTAATCAACTGGGGAACTTTCAAGGGCCTTATTCTCCTGTAATGTCTGGCCTGAGTAGTTTTTACAATGTAGTATTGGTACTTCTTTCTAAGTAAAGGAACTGAGTACTCCCTCCACTTCTGAATGTATCTGTGTTCTGGAGGCTCACATAATGCACATTGTGTGGAAACAAATTTACCCCTTTTAGGCAATAAAATCTATATCATCTAAAAAAGACAAATTTAATTAAAATGAGAGAAGTGAAAGTACTCACTGAGAATGAAGAACAAGATAAAAGTGTGACGCACTTTCATGTTGAGGCTGTTTACCGCTGCCTCTCTTTCTTCTGCTGTGGGAAACTACTAACTTCTGAAGATTCACTTCTCTGAACACTGGACTTACTCAGGATGGGTAAATAAATAAGTTCATTAATCACTATTCTCTATTATGTAGTTTACACACACACACACACACACATAGGTGAAGTACAGAAATGCAAACACAGGACCCATAAACATGTTACTGTGGGGAGTGATGGGGCTGCCACATAGTTTTACCCCCGGAGCAGTCAGGGGTTCGGTACCATGCTCAAGGGCACCTCGACAGTGCCCAGCAGGTGAACTGACACATCTCCAGCTACCACTCCATACTTGGTACTCTGGTCCACGCTGGACCCAAGCCAGGTTCCCTACAGACTGAGCTACTGCTGCCCTTTGCTGGATGATCACCCAGTATTTGCTTCATACAGTTTGAATATGTTAGGGTTGTGCTGCTGCACTGCCCCCCAAAGTGGTAAAAGAACCAATTAATGCAGGTTTAAGTAGAATTTGTTTTGAGATTAACATTGACATTATACCTGTTGACAGAAGGACAGTACCAAACAATATGCATGTGAGTGCCAGGAGCATCCTGGGGACACAAATTACACTTTAGAAAGTAATAGTTTCACATTGTTTCTCAAAATACAGGATTCTATAAATGTATTGCCGATACGGATTTTTGCACACGTTAAAGGTATTTTTCCCAAACTGTCTTGCTGTGAAGTGATTCTTCTCGGACTACCAGATCTCCTTTTCAAAATCTTTTTGTTATTAAGTCAGGTCAAGAATGGGATTGTTTGTTTGTTCTATGATTGGGAGCATCTTTAAAACCTTATCTCCACAGGACTCCATCGGCACAAAGTGCAGACAGTAGCTTCAAATAAAGATAAAACAGTTGTCTGGCACTTTTTTCTAAGTGTTCTATTTCTATGAAATAGAAATAGCAGCAGTTAGCTGGAGGAAGAGGGTCTGTTGATTCCTGTCCTTTCCTCAGAGGGGAGCTCGTCTCTTCCACACATCTTTGCTTGATTAATTCAATACCACACACGCACACATCCTCACTACTTACTGTACTGACTACTACATCTCATGTTTTTGTGTTTATATTGTGTTAACATTATGCTCTTAGTTCAAATAAAGTGCTTATTTATTTGCACTATGCAAATACATAGTGGTTGTTGCCAACTACATAAATAAATATTCATGAGCAGGACTAAAATTCCAAGGTTTATTGCCTGTATGATTACTGTGCCACAGCCGTGTCTGAAAGTGTCTTGACAGATTACTGACCGGCTACAGTCTGGTGACACATCACACCTGTTCACAGACGTCACACATGGGAAATAATGTTTCACATTTATTCATTAGTTTCTATTTAGGTGTCACTTTAAATATGTGTTACTTGATCCTTTATTAGTCAAAATAGTGAACCCTAATTTGACCCTAAAAACCTTACTCCTACGCTAACCTGCTAACTTTATATAAAATAATTCAGCCAACTTACTGTAATGGTAATGCTAACTTAAACATTCATTATTTATTAAACGGATAATAATTCTTTAACATATATAATAACTTAATAAAAAATACAGAAGTAGTGAAAGTAGCTCTAACCTGAAGCGTGCTGTTGAGGCAGCAGATTGGAGGTTATGTTACTGAGGACAGAACTACTCTTACAACTGTTCTTACTTTAAAAAGTCAGACACAAAAAAGATATTTGTGTGAATATGTTTCAGCTTATTTACACAGTTACTTATTCAAACTGTTGGCCTCAGAGACTAAATGTGGAGCTAAGTAACAGTAGAGTACACAGGAGAATCATCTTCCAGATGGCCGGCATCAGAGCTCGCCTCCACCCGAGGAACAGAGTAGACGACGTTATCATCGTCACCACGGACGGCTCTGTTGGACGGTTTGGAAAAATTCACCTCAGAGTAGGTGAGTTTACTCGAGTGGTCTTCAGCCTGGAAAAAGAAAACATGTAAAGAATCAGATGTAGCTTTGCTCCTGGTTGCACCTCAGCTCCATCTGCGTGAGCTGAGGTAGCAGGTGCTTTGTTGATACTTTACTCTGTTAAATTACTGTTCTGCCTCACACTGTATCTGTATTTCCTGCAGTGGTGGATGTTTTGATGAACTGGGTGAATGTTCATTCTGTGCCACACTTCAGAGTCTGTCTGTGTGTTTTAACTGCACTAATAACTCAATTACTGCCTGCTCTGATTATTAAAATGTCATGTAAACACCTTAACAAGCTTAGCAAGGCAGTAAATTAAACAGGATTACTAATTCATTGATATGGAGGCTCAGTGGTTTCAGCATCTGAAACAATATGCTGCAGATGTTTTACCAGTCTGTGGTGGCCCTGTCTTTTATAATGCCTTGTGCGAGGGCACAAGGGGCGGCTGAGGTCTGACTGGACTTACATATTGCACTTTATAATAACATTTTCCATAACTTCTGGCACAGTGCAATACATTAATTAAACCTGCTTTGTTCACATCCATGTGTAGCCTACTAGCCAGCAGACTTTTGCTTTCTGTCTTTGCACATTGCTACAATTCCTGGAAGGTTTCTGAGCCCAAAGCTAAAATCCTATAACTTTTTCCTTACTGTATTTTGAAATCTGGATGCAGAGACAGAGCTGTAGTCATCAGTGGATTCAGGAGTTTTTTGTTTGGTATATTTGGCGAGAGTGTAAACTGAAGAGATTTCCACAGGAGCAGATCTGCTGTGCCTGTCCTCTCTGATGTTCTCGTACACTTGGTTGGTCTACAGGAGGACAAGGTTTGGTTTGAATTAATATGAGCTAGTTTCACAAAAAAATAATGAAACTCAGATGTTCATCAAACTCACCTCTGTGACAGAAGGGTACTCTGTTTCCACTGGAGCTCCTGAAAAACACATTATATTTACACTGCACTGATGAAACAAACTGATTCTGTTGTCCATAAAAATGAAAACATTGTCCTCTACGAGTGTCAAACATAATTTCAGTCAATCTTTAAAAAGATGTACAATCCCTCAATGCTGAAAAAGTGCAGCAGTTCTGTAGTCTTTCTAACAAATTGATTCTGGATTGAGGCAAAGTCTTTGGAGAACTTTTCTGTGGTAAAAAGCAAACTCCTTAAATAGTAAACAAAAATCTTAAGGGGCCGTTCTACTGTTAGAATCATGCAGCCTGATTTGCTGTCAGGTGTGCTACATGTTTATTTGGCACAGAGCTCAATATGTTAAGTAGCATAATGATAGTTGGTGTTGTTACAAGGCACAATAAGCATCAAGCTAGCACCTCTGTGATAGCAACCTTTATGCTGAGCAGCAGTTAGGTTCATTTAAGATTGTTATTGTCATTATTCTGCTTGTTTTCTAGTCAGTCCTCCTGAGCTTAGATGTTGTTAGTTGTGTGTCTCTGCTCTTCGTGCATTCACAACATTTCCATTGTGAATGCACGAGACAAACTGTAAAAATAGGAAGTTTCAGTTTAGTTGCCTGCTGGTCTGTGTGTGTTTCCTGTTGCCTCACCCTTGGGTTTAGAAGACCTCTTCCTGCAGTATATCACCACAGCCAGTAATAATAGGATAACCATGACGGCCAGAGTCAGACCGACAGGCAGCCACACATCTGTAATAAATTGAGGTACAAGTTTACATTGACACACACACCTTAATGTCATGTATTAAACTCTCATTGAAATGAGGTCCCTGAAGGTACAGTATACATACACACATTTAACTTATTCATTTGGCAGACGCTTTCATCCAAAGCGACTTAACACTCAACCTAGTCCACCTGACAGCCAGAGAGAACCCACGCAGAGAGAACAACTCCACACAGAAAGGCCAGGGCAACTGGGGTTTGGACCCGCAACCTTCTTGCTGTGAGGCGACAGCACCACCACGCCCCCAATTTTGTACAGTGATGTTTGTTTAGTAGTGTTAAATATGAAATTAAAGCAGTCAGATAGTTTAGCTAAGCACAGTGACTGAAAGTAGGGGGCAACAGCTAGCCTGACTTTGTCAAAAGGTATCACATAACGACCGGCTCCCAGCCTCCAACACGAACTCCAAAAACCAACAATAAAGTTTAATGTGCTGAAGGACCTCTGGCCAAACGAGAATCAGATCAACAGGGTAACGGGTTAGTTAAAGTTACATAATGTTATCTATTGCAAAATACTGCATTTTCAAATTTATAGTTTGCCACATTACTTCAGCTCCTTATGCGATCCATACTATCCTGTATACCACCGGTATGATGTCCTAGTGTTGATTTTAGCCTGCAAGTTAGGATGTAACGGTACAAAGCATGTTCCTACTAGCACATAGTGATGCTGGGCAGGAGTAGCCAGCTAACGTTAGCTTGGATCTGCAGCTGTTTGCTTTGTAACGTTCAATTTAGATTTATTGTTGCTTTATTGATACCCACCGTCTCAGTTGCTGTTACTTACGTGACCCACATATTATAAAATAATTAGTGCTGGGCAACAATTAAAATTTTTAATCACGATTAATCACATGATTTTCTTGCGATTTATCGCGATTAATTGCATTGTTATGCGCAAAATTGAATAATGAATTCTAAAGTAGTGTATTGCGCACTTTTGATTTAAATGTACTGCTATATACACAAAAGTGTAATAACATGTGGTTTGCAAACGCTTTAAACAAATAAGGTGCTTTTTTCCAGCAGTATTCCCTTTACACAGTAGCAGTAAAAAATTTCTTGTAAATCTCAACTTAAACATTAATGTAATCAAATCAAATATTAAAACAAAGCTATTTGCCACTGCCAGGGAATTACATTTTATCTAGCTTGTTAAAACAAGTTAGCATTAGAGTCCAGTTTTCTTGGGGTCGTTTCTGAGCAGGTATCACAGAAACATTTTTCTTTTATCAGGGAGCAGCAGAAACAGTATGTTCAGTAGCAAGTTTTCCTGTTACAGTGAGGTGAAGTGGTCAAGCACAAGGTGTAGCGACAAGAAGGTGCGTTCCCGTGAAACTGTCATGGTTTGACTATAGGACTATGTGTATTCAGAGCCAGTGAGCAACAAACTTTCAAAATAATAATTAAAAAAAAACTGCGTTAACGTGCGATAAAAAAATTGTCGGGGTTAATTAAATAATGCTTTAACGCGATAATAACGCGTTAACGTGCCCAGCCCTAAAAATAATGCTACAGAACGACGCATGGCAGCAATACAGTGGGAGACCCATTCACCACACTACAGTAATGTTACTTACTGCAACAATCTCATTTATAACATTCAGTCCAGCTCACTAACAGATTTTGTTATCATCCACTTTATTTAGCTCTGCTGACATTGCTGAGCCTCTGTTGAAAGATACAGAATTAGTTACTGGCAGACGTGCACCTCCTCAAAAATGTAACTACACGTCGAGGCGACGCGGACCGTAAGCACTGTGATTGGTTGGCTGGGTAGCTCGCAATGCCTCCAAGCCCATGCTTTGAAGTAACTTTTACTCTCAGCCAAAACAGCGGCTGTAACACGGTGGATCAATATATCTGACTGTCACAACCCGAGCGAAATGACTCGTTTCACTATCAGAATGTGATCCACTCAGTCGCTAACATTTGAAAAGGCTATACCAGCAGTACGTATACAATTTTACCCCCATTCCCGTTAGCGAAGGGCTAAATCGTAAGTTAGCCTGCTTGCCCGGCGAAAGTCAACACAGTGGACGCTGTAGCGCTACTGCAGACTAGCGTTTGGGGGTGTAATTGCAGAATGATGAATAAATGGGCCTTTAAGTCGCACACACAGTGACTTGAGACTCTGCTTGAGATGCATCCTCAAAAGATTTCAGATTTGACTCAGACTTGAGGTGCAGGACTCGTAAAGAATGTTTATTTTTTTTAAAACTTCTGATAAGCTTGCCGTTATTCCCTCCCTCCGTTCCCTATAACCTGCCTACGTAACACGTAGCATCTTCTGCGCGCTGCCACACATGAGAGAGGACAACAAACACTGGCAGCTGCTGAGCCATTCATCCTAAACTTTGGCTTTAAAACTTCATACAACAAGGCCCAAACAAAGAAGTGCTGAACGCTGGTTAGTAAACATGTTTAGCTCAGCATTGGCCATCTAACGTTAGCTTGCTTCTTGCTTCAGCTACGGCCTATGTGACGTAAACTCCGACTGGCATACATACATACACATCCCTTCAATTTCACTAGCTTTATTCCAATATTTTCTCATAGAGGAGTGTCTGTTTAGTTTTTCTAAAAAGCTAACAGTAACATGCACAGGTTCTCACTCAGCCGTGATTGGAGCACTGAGAGGAAAAGAAAGGACCACCGATTGGTCCGTTGTACAAATCTGGAATAAGTGGAGTGTGATGTATAAATCTGGTCCAGCCCAAAGGGAGTTCCCTCCTCCCACAGAAAGCTCTGCTCTGAACTGCTTGAAAACAGCTCGTTTGTAATCCAGCCCTTCACTTCCTTTACTTGTGACGTCACAATGAAAACACATCATAAAGCTTGCCAAGCAGCTAGCGGGGTCAGGCACGCCCTCAAACCAAGGTAGTCTGAGCGGAGGCCCTTTGGCTCGACTCGCCTTTCTTGGGTTTCCATTGTAGAAATGTTGTACCTGGACCTGCTGGAGGTTCCAAGCGAGCTGAGGGATACTAACATGTAACGTGAAAACACGACAGACTGCTGATTGATCAGAGAATATTCACTGTTCACTGCATCATCATTGCGCCAGACAGAGGCCAGCAACAGAAAGTTTTACAGTTTTCGTATGGAATTTCATCACTAAATCCACTTCTGAGAAGTTTTGAGGTGAGAAATCAGCTGTGTAGATTTCCAATATTGACAGTTTTACGAGAAGTGATGGTGGAAAAAAAAAGTGCTTGAATATTTTCAGAGTTGAGGAGCTTTACAAGTGACGCCGGGGGAAGCCTGCTGTGACCCGTGGGGAGGAGCGTGTGAGGCCGGCCAGCCGCCCGCTCACAGAGCCCTCTTATCCCGCCGTCACACAAACCGCTGCAGCAACAACGGCAGAGGAAAACACAGCTGGAAGGTTTTCATACCGCTTATCTGTCTTTACATTCTGAGGAAGGTTGAAACGTTTTAACTTAAAAAAGAGAAAGCTGTGTGGATCGCTGGTGTGTGTGTCGCATTGAACATTACGTTGCGGCAGTTGTGTGTGGCGTCGCTATAACGACAAGCTACGTACTATCTCTAGGTACTATCTGCAATGGAAAACGGAGCAGGGCTGAGTAGAGTCGAGTATTGATTTGCGCTATGGTAGCATTTTTCGGCAAGGCAGCCGAGATTGTCAGAACACCGGCAACAGTTCAACATTTAGTCCTATGGTAAGATGTGGAACAATGATGATGCGTGGTTGTGGACTTGTGAGTAACTTATACCATCTGCTAGGTTACGGTCGCAGTCTGAAGCAGCTTTGATTTGGATCACACTACCTTGTTTCTTACGACCCGCCCTTCTCTGCTTCTGATTGGCTAGTAGTCCTTACCTGGGAACTGCGCATGTGCAACTCCCAACAAAGATTTTGTACAAGTAAGATGCATCACTCTGTAGCTCAAGAGCGGAGCGTACAACACACAGGGTGAAAAGAGGAGCTGCAGCAATGTGCAGTATGAGAAAAATATGGTGTTTTTTGAAAATTAAACCATGTAAACCTGTTCTGGTACAACCTCTAAATAAGAGTTTGAACCTGAAAATGAGTAGAATACCACCTCTTTAATAAACTCATGTACTTACACAAAAACACGCAGATCTATTGTATTTACACACGGTAACACACACACTTACACAGAGACAATGCACACATTCTGGTTTTACAGCTTTGACTGGGATCTTCTCCATAGTCACTGGTTGAGAGGCTTTGCTAGGTGCTGAAAGGACAATTACATGTCATGGCTATCAGTCATGGACTTTCATCTATCAGACCGTGTGTAGATGTACCTTGAGATGGTCCTGTCTCAATCGGCTGCTGGTTAGTCTGAGAAATCTGTGTTGGTGTGGAGGCTGATGGGTCTGATGTTGAAAAGACCGGTAAAGTCGATTTTGGTTTTAAAGTGTTTGGAGCTGTAAACAACCAAACATGCAGAAATCCTGGTAAGAGAAATAAGTCTGTGTCTGTGTGTCAGCTGAACAATTATAAATGAACATTTTTAAGTTTTCACAGTGATGGAAATTTAAAACATCAGCAGCTGTCAGTGAAAACTTTCTTCAGACCTGCAGAGACATGAACAAACATTTTCATTCTCAGTTATTTTCATTTCACTTTAAGTGTAAACTCACCATCTGTGACAATGATCTCAAACTCCCGGTAGGGATCTGGTGAAAAACGTCTGTCCAGACCACACCTGTACCGTCCTGAGTCAGACTTGGTCAGCTGTGTGATGCTCACATACACAGATACATCTGTCAGAGATCTGATGCTGTATCTGCCTCTCTCAGCTGTGTAACCAGTTGTTTCAACAAGAATGTCTTTCTCTTCACATTCTTCCTTGCAGAAGTACCTCCTGCTTCCAGAGACAGTAAAGGAGCATTCAACTACAATATTTCCTCCAGCTCTTGTATAGAGGGATTTGACTTCAGGAGGACTTCCATCCAGCAGTGCTGTTGAAAAGATGAACAATCAATAGTTACTATCTGTACTTAACATGATGCAGTCTGATCACAATAATTACAGTTTCAAATGTGATCCACAGTTACACTGGGAGCTGCCCAGTTCTACCAGTCTGTGACTGATTTGGATTCTTCCAGCAAAGATTCAGAGCATCATAATCTCAGCCTCTGCACACAATATGATCATTGATCTTTGCATATGGAAAAGTGATATTAATATTCTGTGATTGCAGATGAAAAATACTCGTAAATAACCTGTTAAGAAAACATTCACTTCAGAAGCACAAACGGTTAAAACTCTCACACTGATGTCAAAATGAAAAGTATAAAAAAGTATGTGTGTTTGTGTGACAGATTCAGTTTATCAGCCTGTTGTTTTTAAATGAGCATTACAAACACATAATCAGAGTTCACAGAGATACAAATATAAAGTAAATCAACCAGTGAACAGTGAAGCTTTTCTTCAGACAGGAAAGAAACATTTTTATGACTTTTAGTAGAAACTCACCATCTACAACAATGATTTCAAACTTGATGTTTGATCGGTCCAGACCACACCTGTACAGTCCTGAGTCAGACTTGGTCAGCTGTGTGATGCTCACGAAAACATTTCCTCCTCTCTCATATATGATGCTGTATCTGCCTCTCTGATCTCTGACACCAGTTGTGTGAATGAGGATGTCATCTCGTTTACATTCTCTCTTGCAAAAGAACATCGAGCTTCTAGGTGAAGAAAAGGCGCATCTAACTGTGACATCTCCTCCTTCAGTTCCTGTAAACACAGGTGGGATCAGGGCATTGGTGAGACCAGTGTTTCCATCCTGCAGAGCTGTTGAAAAGATGAACAACAATAGTTACTGTCTGAACTTCCTGTAAGATGCTGCAGTCTGATCACAACATTTGCTGCTTCACGTCACACTGGGAGCTGCCCAGTTCAACCAGTCTGTGGCTGAGGATCATAGACTGGTACTGCAGGTGAATGTTACTGTTTTATTTTTCCTGTCTGTCTTTTAGCCATCATCCTTTATTCTTCCCTGTATAAATAAAGATTTCAATCAATCAAATGTAAATTATAAAAAGTAACTAAATCCCCCCAGATCATAAAAAGTGTAATTTTTTGTAGTTTTGCTGCTGTAATGTTTTTTTTGTATTTTTTGTTCTTTTCTCTTTCCTCCTTTCTTGCTTGCTTTTTCTCTTTTCATACAACAGTTAGACATAAAAAAGTATAAGTAAGTAAGTAAGTAAAGTTTATTTGTATAGCACCTAGGTGCCACTGCTTGGAATGAACGATCCCCTCTGGTTTTAAAATGAGTGTCGGGAACCACTAACAACCTCTGACCTGATGACCTCAGACTACGGGTCGGAGTATGAAGCTGTATAAACTCTGAGATGTAGGGAGGAACTTGACCGTGCAGGGCTCTAAAAGTAAGAACGATGGTTAATTATCTGTCCGAGAGGAAATATATACAAAAGGAACAGGATGGGTCCCAAGACAGAACCCCGAGGTACCCCACACGACAGTCCTGCAGTTTCAGACATGATCTGATTTACACAAACACTAAAACGTCTACCTGAAATGTAGGATGAAAACCATTTTAAAACTGATCCAGACATCCCAACCAGATCATGGAGTCTATTTATCATAATATTATGATCAGCAGTATCGAAAGCAGATGGAAGGTCCAAGAGAACCAAAACTGTTTATTCCTTAGAGTCAGCTGACATCAGAATGTCACCAGAAACTTTAAGTAATGCAGTTTCTGTGGAACGCACTTTACGGAAACCAGACTGGAATTTGTCAAACAGCTTGTGATTCTCTAAGAAAAGGGTGAGTTGCTCTGCTACAACATTTCTAGAATTTTTGACATGAATGGAAGTTTTGATATCTGCCTGTAGCTCTTAGGTTGTAATGGATCCAAACTGGGATTTTTAAGTACAGGCTTAACAGTACTGTTTAACTGTTTCAAACACTTGTACAAATAGCACAGTAGAGACATCCATGGGACAAGATGAAGGGTTCAATGTATGTAGGAGAGAGGTGATGTCCTGTAATGTCACAGGTTTAAAATACGACCAAGAATGAGCAGAATACAGGTCACATGCAGAGTTCTGTGTAAGTGATGGTGAGATGTTTGTTCTAAAATCTCTGATCTTACAAAGAAGTGAAGGAATTCATTATAGTCTGATCACAATTGCTTGAGGGGCAGAAGGAGAAACAATTTCATTTATGGTGTCAAGCAAGATTTTAGGATTTTGCTTATTCGAGGATATAAGCTGAGAAAAGAAGCAAGTTCTCGCATTTCTTAGCATTTCATTTAAGGTAACCCTTTGTTCTCTCAGAGAAAGCCTATGAACCTCAAGTTTAGAAGATTTCCATAGACATTCAACTTTTCTACAATTTCTCCTAAAACTCTGGATAGTTTAATCAACCCAAAGACAAGGTTTTTTATAGGAGACAATGTTTGTTTTAACTGGTGCCACTTTATCTAAAGTGCTAAGCACCGATTATTAAAAGACTGGATAAAAACATCTGCATCACTGCATCCCATCAGTGAACATGGGTCAAACAAGGAAGAGAACCTCTCCGCAGCATCATGATTAATAATCCGCCTTTGGGCCCTAATTCCCAGGGGCAGAGGATCTAGAGGAAAGTTAATGTCAAAGAACACACAGCTATGAGCCAGCCGGGCCAGGAGGACGGTAAATTAGCACACAGTAAAATGTGTTAAAAGCACCTACTTTGAGCATCTGTGATTGAGTTTCTAGCTCTACATAAGAATCTGTCACGATGTACAACAGCAAGCCCACCACCCCAGCGTGCTTTCCGGGGCGTCCCAGTAACAGAGCAGCCGACAGGACAGAGCTCATTTAAGTGAACAAACTCATTTTCCCTTTTCCACGTTTCAGTTAAGAACATAAAATATATAATTATTCTCACTGGTAAAAAAGCTTGTTAAGAATAAAAGTTTTGTTAGAAATGGCGCACTGAGCAAGGCAAACCGGAACGATGACGGCAGGCCAGCATCCACAACAGCTGACGGAACTAACCGTAAACAGGTGACACGGTCACGTGATCTAGTGGTCAATTGCTAGTCAGACAGCACAGTAACCATCGGTAGTGGCAGGTCCGCGTTCCCATCAGCATGTCGCTGGAACAGAAGAGGTTCTCCTCTGACAGGTAGAGACATCCAGGGGGCGCTGCAGCTGGAGAGCATTTCCACCCGCATCCAGGAGGGAAACTGGCCGCAACCACCGGGTTCGTTCTCCGCTCTGAGGCCAGAGCACACCCATCCAGGAAGGTCGCCGTATCTTGATGTGAACGCCAGCTCTGTTGACCCTTCTCCTGGATCTCTTCTTGGGATTACCAGGGCCCCTGGGGCGGAAAAGTTTGTTTGTAACTTTCCCAGTTATCAAAGAGTCCTTCCATAGACTCTCTGATGTCCAACAACGAGCGTCGAGACACAATCATTAGACGTTAGGGCTGATATGATAACAAAACATACCAGTACAAACACTGAAAGTTGACACATATGCGACGCAGCAGCGGCCAAGCCAAACACAGGCGCCATCTTTGTCCATACATGTTTAAACAATGATGAAACACACTACATAGGTTTGTATGTCAGTAATAACATTCATTTAGAATTTAATATTAATTTCTACCAAAGTGGAAAACTGTATCAGAGTATACAGCAGAACAAACAGTAACAGAGCCCCAACAAAACAATATGAAATAATGAAATCAGTATTAAAAAGGAGAACCAGACAAAATATGAACATAAATATTGTAGATTAAAACTTTCAGGTCAGTTTTTAAGCCACAAACCACAAGAGTTCAGTGAGACTTTCAACATTCAACTCTTTCTTCCCGTTTATCAGAACACAGAACTGACTGACTGTATTTACATCAGAGCTTTAGCAGGATTTGTTAGATGTGTAAACAGTGATCAGTAGGTTAAGAAAAATGATTTAATGTGATGTAAATACATGTTTATTTATCCAGTTCTTAAATCCATGCATTTCTTTTGTTTCTATTTGTGTGATATCTTTATGTAAAAGCTACTACATACAGAAGTTATTTCAAATCTTGTGAAGCTACAACAAAGTCCACTAACAGTCAGGCTGAAGCAACAGAACACATAAACTCTGTCAGTTGCTGGTTCCAGCTTCTCAGATGTTGAGATTCAACTCTCTTCTAATTGTGTAAGATTATGCCCTTCATTTTCCTTCCTCATGTGCAGTTTAATTAGAGGAAGTTAAATAAAGAACTTGTACCGGACTGTATTTTAAAGGATATGTACTATTCTCACAAGCTCATATTTACATTGAAAGAGCTTCTGGAGGTAAAATCCACATTCTATGCGAGGACTATTTTAGGACAGACTTCAAAAAATGGGAACGTTTCCATTAAAGTGCCTCATACCTGACTCTGATCATCATATTTAACTCATGAGAAACTGTGACACTACTGACCAACAAAGAAAATAAAGAAAAACTACATAACAAGAGAGAGAGACAGAAATCCAAAGTGAATACTCACAGAGGAAGAAGAAGCAGATCAAAGTGTGACGGACTTTCATGTTGAGGCTCTGATGGTTTACTGCTGCCTCTCTGACTTCTTCACTGACAAACCAGGAACTTCTAACTTCTTTAAATGATGAAGTCCCTCCTCCAAACACAACACACACACACACACACACACACACACACACACACACACACACACACACACACACACACACAGCTCTACTCTCCTCCCCTCTCCATCATCTATATTTGTACTGCAGGGTCTGAGGTTTCCTGCACATTCATTCAATTCAATTCAATTTTATTTATATAGCGCCAAATCACAACAACAGTTATCTCACAGCGCTTTTCATAAAAGAGCAGGTCTAGACCGTACTCTATGATGCTATTTACAGATTTATTTACCAAGAGCACTAGGCGACAGAGGCAAGGAAAAACTTCCTTTTAAGAGGCAGAAACCTCGAGCAGAACCATGGCTCAGGGTGGGCGGCCATCTGCCTCGACCGGTTGGGGTGAAGGGGAGAGAGAGAGAGAGAGAGAGAGAGAGAGAGAGAGAGAGAGAGAGAGAGAGAGAGAGCAGCCTACACAATATACACACAGAGGGGTACAGACAGTAAAGGTTGCTATGGACTAAATTAATAATTGTACAGATATTTATAGTAGTGTTAATGGTAACAGTCGTAATGTTACTGATTATAATAACAATAGGACTAGTAACAATAGTTGTTGCAGCAGAGGGTGTCGAGCAGGAACACGGGGGCAGCAGGTGACCAGCAGCCACAGATCCAGACTCCACAGCTCCAGAGCCAGAAAACCTGCAGGAAGTGATAGGAGGAGAGAGGAGAGAAAGCACAAGACTACCAGAAAGGGCAGAAGTTGTGTTAGTAACATGCAATAATGGGATGAGGTTGCATACAGAGGGAGAGAAAGTAGAGGAGAGAGGAGCTCAGTGCATCATAGGAAATCCCCCGGCAGTCTAGGCCTATAGCAGCATAACTAAGGGATGGTTCAGGTCTACCTGAGCCAGCCCTAACTATAAGCTTTATCAAAGAGGAAAGTCTTAAGCCTACTCTTAAATGTGGAGATGGTGTCTGCCTCCTGAACCCAAACTGGAACCTGGTTCCACAGGAGAGGAGCTTGATAGCTGAATGCTCTGGCTCCTAGTCTACTTTTGGAGACTCTAGGAACCACACGTAACCCTGCATTCTGGGATCGCAGTGCTCTGGTGGGGTAGTAAGGTACTATGAGCTCTTTAAGATAAGATGGTGCCTGACCATTAAGAGCTTTGTAGGTAAGAAGAATGATTTTAAATTCTATTCTGGATTTTACTGGAAGCCAATGCAAAGAAGCTAAGACAGGAGAAATGTGATCTCTTTTCCTGGTTCCTGTCAGAACACGTGCTGCAGCATTCTGGATCAGCTGAAGAGTCTTAATGGACTTTTTCGAGCAGCCTGATAATAAGGAATTGCAGTAATCCAGCCTAGAAGTAACAAATGCATGGACTAGTTTTTCTGCATCATTTTTAGACAGGATGTTCCTGATTTTCGCAATATTACGTAGGTGGAAAAAGGCGGTCCTTGAAATTTGCTTAATGTGAGACTTAAACGACATGTCCTGATCAAAGATAACTCCAAGATTCCTCACAGTGGTGCTGGAGGCCAAGGCGATGCCATCCAGGGAAACTATATCTTTAGATAATGCGTCACGGAGGTGCTTAGGCCCCAGAGCAATAACTTCAGTTTTATCTGAGTTTAACATTAGAAAATTACAGGTCATCCAAGTTTTAACATCCTGAAGGCACATTTGAAGTTTAGCTAACTGATGAGTTTCATCTGGTTTGATTGATAGATATGTAACGTGGGGGTTCGATGTTAGGTGGTTGGAACACTCTTTATGAGAAAAACAACAGGATGGAGACGGATAACTTTCTTACGCAGCACTTTACTTTTCACACCTCGTCACAACAACAACACTTCCTCGTCCTCCCTCTCACATGACCGAACTAACCAATCAGGAGCTAGCAGGAGTTAGACTGAAGTAAATGCAAGGAAAACACAGAGGTAGATTCTGCTTAATATCGTAGCTGATTCACAGATTCAAATGTAATGATTTAGATACCAACTGTGATACAAATAAAAAATGCCGTGAACTGAATACACACTGTAAATATATTTTTAGTAAATTTCCTCAAAAATGTGAATTAACTTAACTTCTCTTACATTAACTCTTACAGATATAACTGAGTATCATCTGCATAACAATGAAAGTTTATGGAATGTTTCCTGATAATATTGCCTAAGGGAAGCATATATAAAATGAAGAGGATTGGTCCGAGGACAGATCCTTGAGGAACTCCATGACTAACTTTGGCATGCATGGAGGACTCATCGTTAACATGTACAAACTGAAATCGATCTGATAAATAGGACTTAAACCAGCTTAGAGCGGTTCCTTTAATGCCAATGAAATATTCCAGTCTCTGCAATAGGATCTGATGGTCAATGGTATCAAATGCAGCACTAAGATCTAATAAAACCAGTACAGAGACAAGTCCTTTGTCTGATGCAATAAGGAGGTTGTTAGTAATTTTCACCAGTGCTGTCTCTGTGCTATGATGAGCTCTAAATCCTGACTGAAAATCCTCAAATAAACTATTGCTCTGTAGAAAGTCACACAGCTGTTTAGCAACTGCTTTCTCCAGAACCTTAGAGAGAAATGGAAGGTTAGATATAGGTCTATAGTTGGCTAAAACATCCGGATCAAGTTTGGGCTTTTTCAGAAGAGGTTTAATTACAGCTACTTTAAAGTACTGTGGTACATAGCCTGTTGATAAAGATAGATTGATCATATCTAGTATAGAAGTGCTGACTAAGGGTAAAACATCTTTAAGCAACCTAGTCGGGATGGGGTCTAAGAGGCAGGTCGATGGTTTAGATGAAGAAATTATTGAAGTTAGTAGGTAAAGATTGAGTGAAGCAAAACATTCATGTGTGTTGTAACACAATCCTCAATGTTTTCTTTACCTTCAGTTCAGTACTGGTGCATTTATATAGAACTGCAGTCAACATCACAGGCGTACTGCATCATATCATTTGTTTTAGTTTTTTTAAAGCAACTATAAAAGTCAAATAAATGCAGTGGAGTAAAAAGCACAATATTTCCCTCTGAAAGTTAGCGGAGTAAAAGTATAAAATTGAAATACTCAAGTAAAGTACAAGTAAGTAAAAATTTAATTATTTCTACAACAATGGAAATATCAGCAGTAATCAATAAAACAGCCATCAAAACACCCGGATGAGACTGTGAGAACATATGTACATTTTGAAAAATCTACTGACTCATCATTGAGCTATTCTTAGAGTCTCATGGAGGCGATAAAGTCAAGTTTATTCTAAAGACTCCTAAAGGATTTCAATCCAGTTGTGTTTGTGTTGAGACTTTGTTGACCAATCGTTTATTGATAATAGATTATAGGCTTTTTAAAGCTCCCTCCAGGGCTGTTTTAATTTTGCTCTGTGAAGCACGTTTGTATGAAAGCTACTTTCTAAACAAGGTAGAGTTAATAATCTGGAACGAACTGATGAAGGAACAAAGGATCTGGGACAGTAGGCCTGGGCAATATGTAGGCTGAATCTAAATCTCCACACTAATGGACTCATTGTCTGTGAGGCGTGTTCCTGGTGGGTCCACGAGGATCCGCGTGTCTGACACGCCCACCAAACGGGAGAAAACATACCTCAAAGCGCGTTGCACAGCGTTGCAAGAAAACATTTTGTTCAATCCGAAAACGTTGCAAAACGTTTTGAGATTTCATCGCCCCAGGTCACACAGCCACCCCTCACATGTGCAAACACTAATCGCTTAACTGATCACTAACCAATCACTGCTTTAGTATAATCAACCAGGACAGAAACTGGTCTGAGAGTCAAGTCCAGCCTGAGTCGCTTTACAGGGGGCGTCCATAATTTCAACCATGAGAAATGAGAACAGGTACGCAACTATCTAATGACTATTTCAGCATTACAGTATTGTAAAATTTATATATTGCTGTTTGGCAAGAGAAAGTCTTGTGGGATGAAGCTTAACTTTGCACTGGTATCTCAAAAATATACTATTATGAAAAAAGTGTTTGCCATTTGATGCAAATGCTTCTTTGTGGGATGTGTATATGGCATTTTGAATGCAGTGTATGATTTTGACATTTGTGGCATTTGTACTTATTCTATACATTTTATCATGTTTTAGGTTTCAAAACATCTTATCGAAACAAACTATTTTTAGTTAGGGGAATTAGCTTTTCCTCTACAACCAAAGGCAATTTCTATTACCAGTTACTCAATTAGTGGTAGCTTAGAGACAAGTGTTTATGTTGATTACTCGTAAAAATGTGGCTCAAACAAAATTTTCACCTCATTTAAAAGTATTTTTATGTACTTAATTACCACAATCACAAACACAGGATTTAAGTTAAAAACCATTGTAAAATTTAAGTTACTCCCAATAGATTTTCTTCAGTAGTTTTTTTAGAGCTTTTTAGGCAAATCAACATTTTTTATACAGTTAGGGTATATTGAACTGCAGTTGAGTATTGAACAGATTATATTTAAAACTTAAAAAAATCTGTAAAATGTTAACTCCACAACATTTTGTTAAACTACAGTGACAAAGTTCTAAGCAAGTGTTCATTAAATTTAAACTTTCACTGCTCACTAACCTTCTCAGAACCTGCAGCTTTTTTTACATAATTTCCCACAAAAATGGATTTTAAAAACATAGCCCCTCTTTGGACAAAAATATGTATTTTATTAAAACATATTGTTTATTTTGTCAACTGCCCATACAAGATTTGTTCAACATACAGAATATCAAATTGCTAGTTAGGGGTTGGAAAGCCGTCAGAACTGCCTTAATTCTTTGTGGAATACTTTCAACAAGGAGTTGGAAACATTCCTCAGAGAATTTGGTCCATATTGACATGATAGCATCACGCAGAAGCTGCAGATTTGTCGGCTGCACACCCATGATGAGGATCTCCGGGTTCCACCACATCCTAAAGGCTCTATTGGATTGAGATCTGGAGACTGTGGAGGCCATTGGAGTACAGTAAACTCACTGTCATGTTCAAGAAACCAGTTTGAGATTATTTGAGTTTTGTGACATGGTGCATTATCCTGCTGGAAGTAGCCATCAGAAAATGGTACACTGTAGTCATAAAGGGCTGGACATGGTCAGCAACAACATTCAGGGCCCAAAGTGTTACAAGAAAATATCCCCCACACCATTACACCACCACCACTAGACAGAACCGTGGATACAAGACACATTCAAAGTCTCTTAAATCCCTTTTCTTCCCCAGTGCTGATGCTTGGTTTGAACCTCAGCAAGTTGTCTTGACCACGTCTACATGCCTGAATGCATTGAGTTGCTGCCATGTGATTGGCTGATTAGCTATTTGTGTTAATATGGATTTGAACAGGTGTTCCTAATAAAGTGGCCACTGGTGAGTGTCCAAAACAAGGTAATCTCAATAAAATCTAAAAAGTGGAATCTTTAGAAAATACTGTTCCTGAGACATTACTTTTGCACTGGCTTTCTGTCCATCAATATCAAGGAACAGCTTCTAAAAACTTAAAAAGTATATTTAAGTCCAGGATTTTCATTCCCTCCACCACAATGGCTGCTGTCTTGCGGTCAGATCCGAGGGTGGGCCGGTCATCGGTGATGGCAGTTTTCATCACTTGCCTTTCAAGGCTGGCCTCAAACTACATGTGTACTTGTAAAGCAAATTCAAACAAAGGTTAGCATGTTAGTGATGATGAATGATGGAGAATGATAGCAACGGTAGGATCTTCTCCAGACAACATATTTGTTTTATAATAGATGCAAGATCAAATCCAGGATCTCTTTCCGGCTCACAGCCTGAAGCAATGATTTCAGAGTAAAACATACTGGAAGCTTCTGTTGTCCTCCCTACTGAGCACATACTCCACTGGTTCAACCACAGCAAACTGCTCCTTAAAAGTTTAAGTTGTAACAGAATAGTAACCAAAATATAAAATATTTTACAATACTAATGTCATATCTAACAATATCTCTTTCTGCAGGTTTTGTATAGATATAAAATAAAGTGAGCAAGACAGACAAAAAGGAAGCAGTAGCACTTTTATCCCTCTCACAGAAAATGTTACTCACTGTTATAACCTGGCTCAAAAAGCCACAACAAAAGGGAGACACACCATGGTAAAAGTTTAACAAAATATGTTTATTAAACCAAAATTAACAAGTATTTAAGAAGTTTATAAGCTAACATTAAAGTATGAGGTATGTAGTCTGTGGTTTCAGTAGTGTCTGTGATGGTTGCATGAATGTATGTGTGAAGGTGTTGTAGTATGCAAAACAAGATAAATACCACAACGCAATAGTCCAACCAAAGAAAACCAAACTAAATGGGAAACCAGGGAGCCGGCTCGTGAGGAGTTCTGACCTGGCCTCGACAGCAGCCTCTTTGCAGAATGAGAAGACAGTCCCAAATACTCTACAGGGCAATTAGCCCAGGTGCCCAGAGTTACTGCAATCAGCTCTTCCTCTACAAGAGGAGAGAGAGAGAGGGACAGGCCACACCCACTCATGACCCCACAGATTTTAACTAGGCCTAGTAAAAAAAATTGAAAATCAATCTTTGGCGGTCAGCATTGTGGGCCGCCACAAGTAAATGAACGTATGGGAAACACTGCTTCAGCCTACAAGTCTGCTAACACACTGTTTTACTCTATTATTTGTCTAAGCATGTTTAGTGGTCAGGGGAGGGGACTTGAAATCCTGAACTCAAGGTGAAATGAAATTAAGTTATCAAGCCAATTTTATTAAGTTACTACAACTTGAATTTTGTTGTAAACCCATTAACAAGTACATTGAGTTTAAATTACACGCCAAATCAAGTTGATCTAATTTAATTACCAACATTATTATTTGAACACAACTCATAAAAATAAAGTTTGCGACTTAGAATTTATCTAAATAAATAAATTTTTCTTGCAGCTATGCAATTAATCAAGTTGTGGTGACAGATCCCCTGAATTTCTTTTTAGAGTACACTGGCATGGTGCTGGCTGCTCACACCGCCCACCGACAAAGTAACCTGCAAATGGAAAACCAGCCAATCCACCAGCCAGATCAGCCCTGGGAGTCTGGATCAATCAGCTGACGTTATCCACTCAAAGATGGTATTTTGCTTCTTTTGCCAGCTAGCAATATGTCCGCATTAGCACCGCGACTTTGCCATATACTCAGGTATAAAGGTAGATTAACACTTTCTCACCAAGAAGCAGTCCACATGATCTTTAGCTAAAGCTAAAACTACAATCTTTTTCTGCTTTGCAGTAATGTTAGTTTTGACGTTGAACTTTGTGTTGTGGTGGGTGCTGGTTGTTTGTATACGTTAGCAAATTTGATTTCTAAACTAATGTTTCACACATTTGTTTCTGTAGGGGAGCAGAAAAGAAGGCACCGGGAGCGTATAAACATCTCATCCTTTGGATTTTGGCAGAAAAGCAATCCTGAGCCCTTTACATCTGTCCACAGGCTGTTATAGTGAAACCAAGACAGTCGGGGAAGGTCTAATTTTTAAAGTTCTGTGTGTGTGAGTGTAGAGTAGGTCTGGTTCTGATCCCTGCTGGCAGGATCGAGGCTCTCGTAGGTGGATTCAGATGTAGAAGCTGGAGGACAGTTCTCATAGAGGGCGATCTGTAAAAACAATTTTTCAGAGATTGACCTACAGTAAAATGTAGTTTCATCCCTTTTAAATACATTTTTGGAGGTGACACGTGGAGAGGGGTCCAACTGCAGACCTCCACTGTCAGGCCGGTCAGGACAGGAAATAACCATAAATAAACAGTTTTTTTATGTCCCCCACAGGAGGTAACGTGATGCATTCTCGGTTGTTTTGCTACTCTACACAATCGCGACTTTTTTTCCTTTGGATAACGTGAGCTACTCATAAGCTGTATGAAGCTAACGTTACTGTGTGTCCGGCTTTATTAAACGTTTTTTTGTAAAGCATAAAGCAAGAGCATAGGTCTGTATTTATCTTAATATGTTGACTATGACGCTAAGGTCAGTTATTTGTCCAAAAGAAGATAAAATAAAGATCTATTTCGTTTAGACCATTCCATGTAGCAATTTCACACTTAAACAGTGTGCAAAGACTTTGCTGGTTGTATGAATTCCTCTTAGTTGAATTTAAGTTTATGTAGCGTTTATGTAGTTACTACGACAGTCTTTCCCAACCCTCTCCTGGAGAAAGCTACCCCCTGTCCTACATAATACAGGTATACATCTTGTAATGCATGTGTGTTCATTTTTACAGATTTACAGTTTAATAGTCCAAAAGCTCTAGACCATAAAGTCCAGCAGGTTTCTAGTTACGGTCCATAAAGAGGGTCTGAGCTCTTATGGAAGCAGGAAAATCCTGCATAATCATATATGTATTTTCATTGAAATTATTATTTACATTACTAAGACAAATAGGCTAAAATAAACACATTATCCAAATGAACTATTCTGCGCACTGCATGAATGTCATAATGAACTGATTAATAATAATATGATACCATAAAGGTGGATTTGTGGTCTGTCCTTGAGCAGTAGTCTTTGTTGGTTTTATTTCAGGCTTTTGAAGCAAACTTTGTTGCAGTATCACACATCTGGGGCAAGTAGTGTGCTGCTGTGTGTGAGAGAAAGTGTTGAGGAGTCCAATTTGACCCAGTTGCTAAACTTGCGTGCTAAAGATATTCCAGAGTTAAAGTCTTGGCTGGCTCGCAAAGAGAGCAAGTGGCTATCACATGATATCCTTAACGAGATAAATGAAATGATGGCCCATGATGTGCTGAGAACGCTAGTTGAAGAAATAAAGTCGGCTGAGTTTTTCTCTGTGATTATGAGACAGCAGATGGTCAAAGAGCAGGTATATCTTTCTGCCTCCGTTTTGTGGCCGAAAATCTGGAGCCAGAGGACATTTTGGGGGGATTTTATGAGACATCTAAAACAACAGCAGACACACTTTTTCATCTGTTAAAGGACATTCTGATAAGATTCTCACTGCCAATCACAGTACATCCACTGTTACATGTTGTGAATTTGGTTGTGCATGATGTGGCCTAAAACATTCCTGCATGTCGCAACTTCATGGCACTTATTCGTGACATGATAACACTCATCCGAAATTCGCCAAAGCGTCTAAGCTGGTTCCGAGCGTTTCAAGGCAAAGAAACACCGGCTTTGAGACCTCTATGTCTGACACGCTGGACCATAACAACGGCCTCCTTACAGTCCATTGCCTCCAACTACAGCGCGCTAGTGGAATTTCTCGAGGACCTGTGTTTAAATGACAGAGGTGAAGCAGGTGGTAAAGCCAACGTCTGCTTTTGCATCTGCAGAAATTTAGCATTTTTTTCTCCTTGAAACTCATGCTGAAATTCTTCTCTCGAATGGAAGCAGTCAGTGCTGCTCTCCAAAAAAGCCAGTTGCACATACAGAAAGCCAGACTGATGATTGACACACTGAGAGAAGTCATAAAGTGTCTTCGTGAAGGATTCCAAGAATGCTGGGAAAACACAATTGCAGCAGCACATGACCTGAATTTGTAAAACCCCAACTGTGCCCAGAGCAAGAAAAATGCCTCGCCGACTGGAAGATGGAGGCGCGCCGCCACACAGCTTTGAAACAACAGAAGCAATGTTTCGACAACAATACTTCCAGATCACGGATACAGCATCAGCATCCCTGGACTGCAGATTTAGTCCTTGTGCATTTCAACACATGCAAGATGTTGAGGATTTTGTGGCCAGAAAGAGCATCTGCCAAAACATAATACAGTTCCATGGGGATGATTTGGATGAGACCAGGCTCATACTGCATCGTGGTATGTGCATGGACGTAGCAAAACGACGAGGAGTTTGCCTAGCTACTTTTCAAGATGTTGTGGACTTTCTAAAAGGCGATCCAGGAGAACACTTGAGAACCATGTTGCCAGAGATCACCAAACTTGTAAAACTCACGCTAACTGTCCCTGTAACATCCTGCAGTTCATAAAGGTGATTTTCAGGCCTGCGGCGACTGAAAACCTATCTGCGGTCCACAATGGGACAAACGAGACTGAATCATGTTGCTGTATTGAACTGTCGTAAGCACATATCATGAAATATGAACCTGGATGTAATCGCAGATGAATTCATCAAGTGCACGGCTGCAAGGTGTAACACTTTCCTATTAAAGAAGTAACATTAATGGTGAGTGACAACAAATCCATTTAGTTAGTTGATTATTATTTTCCATGGGTTGTGTAGGTTTTCATTAGTTAAACTTTTGATCTCAAATCCCTGTTCATTGTGCGTGTGTGTCTCTGTCGTTTCTGTTATTTTCCTACAGTGCTGAAATGTGTGCTTTGAATACTTAGGCCTACTCTAAATCTGTATAGCCTATCAACAAGAAACGTAGAGTTTTTTTTTTGTTGTTGTTTTTTTGCAAAAGGTTTGTTTTGGCCATCGTTTAGAGCACCCACCGGCAGAAACATAAATCCGCGCCTATGTGTCAAGGCTTTTATTTATTTATTTATTTATTAATCTCTGCCGGTAACATTCGTTACTACAGACCCCCACGAAGCTCAAATTGTAGTCCAGTTCACGCTGTTGCCAGTTTTTCCTATTAAATTCAGCTGATAGCAGTAATATATTACTCTTCAAAGGGAAATTATGAATCGTAAGTGTGTGTGTGTTTTTTTAACAAGACTGGAAGAGAGGCTATACACTTACTCAAAACCAATATGTTTTTCTGTGAATGGATGAGGCTAGCTGTATGGACGGAGTTAATGTCCTATTTTAACAGAATAAGTAAGTAGTGCCTGTAAAAAAGATACTGTTACTAGTTGAATGATTGAAGCGATATGCAGTCATGCTAAGTAGACAGAATAGGCTCAAATCAATATGCAATATTTAAGGAATTCGCCTGCTGGTTTCTCTTTACGATGTTGAATTAAATATAAATCAACGACAAAATACCTCTCCCTATGTCTACGTGATTAAACTTTATAATTTTTGAATGCGTTTCCCGTCAAATCGCAAAACTTTTATTTTGTAATTTTTGCGTGTATTTCCTGTCCTGACCGGCCTGACAGTGGAGGTCTGCAGTTGGACCCTCTTGGACACGTGAGAGCAGGAGGCAGGAAAACCATAACAACCAGTTTGTGCACGAGGGAGGTTGTTAGGGTCAGAGTGAATCTGAGTATTTTTCCAACCTTGATGTCAGAACTCAAGACTCACTCACTGTGTGCCCAAAGATGTTTATATGAACACTCTAATTTTTACACCTACGTGCAGTGAAAGGCTGCACTGTAGGCGTGAAGGAGAGCTGCGCTGCAACACAACAAGGTGAGTAAACACAGCAGAGTTCAGTAAAGAAAGGATCAGCATGTGATCGGTGTTATTTAAGCCGATACTATCTATTAAAATTTCTCCTGATTCCAATCCTGAGAATTAACTACTGTCTCCTGCACTGGTACATCTTATCCAACAGTGAGAGTAATCAAAGAGTTAAAGAAAGTCACCTCCGTGTTTGTGCCATCTGAATTTCCTCTGGTCTGCAAACCTGTGAAACAGACAAAAGTATTTTTCTCTATTATAAATGGTGAAACAACCCAAAAAAAACTAATCTTATTGTGCACATTCCTCATGTATTAGCATTTAGTTGAATTTCTTTGTTTCTTTAACGTGTCTTTCGCGTTCATTACATTTTGTGGGTGTGTGAGCTCAGGGACAGCCTGTTGCTCAGATTTGTTCCAGTGAATTACATTTACTCATTTAGATGACGCTTTTATCCAAAGCAACTTACAATCGCTATATATGTCAGAGGTCGCACACCTCAGGAGCTAAGTGTTAAGTGGGGTTAAGTGTCTTTCTCAGGGACACATTGGTGTGTTATAGTGGATTTAAATCCAGGTCTCTCACACCAAAAGCATGTGTTATCCACTGCCCCATCACTGCCCCAGAGCCAGCCAAACTACAGTATGTGTTGTTGCAAGTCTTGACATGAGTGTCCTGACTGAAATGTCATTTTTGATGAGAAATGGGAAGTTTCACTTGTTGTCGTTGCTGTGTAAGAGTTTCCTGTTGCCTCACCTTTAGGTTTGATGTATTTCTGAATAAAGATTATCATCAGTGTCAGCCCTGGGACGCTGACAATCATGACAGGAATAGAGACAACATACATCAGCACAGCGATGGTGGAGGTCCAATCTGTGGTGGAGGTTGAAGAGAAGAAAAAGTTTGTTTCCTGATTAATAAATGATGATTTAACATGTGGGACCTGAGGCCCTGTTCACGCAGTGCTGTCAAACTAATTGTAACACCTGAATAACTGTCCTATTTTAAAGAAAATATGCTAAATCTAAAAACAAAAGACTATAGTTTATATAAATACACATGCATTTACATATTTAAGTTCTGTAGAAGAACATCTTGTTGAAGAAAAGTTAATTCCTTGAAGAGAAGAATTTTCTGGAACACATTGCGTTCTTTCTCATTGGGTAGTTCACCAGACTTCACCCACAGGGTCCATCAATGAAGTGGAAATAGTCTGTCGGAGCTCATTGCACTTAATCAAGGTACACAAAATCAACAAATATCAAAAAAACTATTAAGCATTTGATTTTCAGCTTTTTTTTCTTTCTGGCAGGTGTCCAGGAAAATCATAAAATTGGACACCACATTCAAAGTCCGGACAACACTGACTGAACCGTGTGTGAATCATTCTTCAGCTGAGAACAATGCTTTCATCTGAGGACAGGTCTTTTAAATTAAATTATTTTGTTATAGCCATTTGTTCAACCCTGTCTGTCATATTGTAACCACTAGACAGACAAAGTCCAACCAGTTATGGCATCTTGAGCATTGAGAGGAAAAACAGGGCTCACGATTTGTTCTAATCTGGATGAAGCTGGCCCGTCATTTTTGTTTATTTTGAGCTATATCTTGCATTAATATATACATGCGCTTTAATAAACTCATGTAGTTGCATAAAAAACAAGTAATAATATAATAATGATAATCTTTATTTATAGAGCACTTTTCAAAACCATGTTTCAAAGTGCTTCACAAGTGCAAAGACAATAAACACATATAAACAGATAGCAAGATATGATTAAAAGAAGGAAAGACTTAATCAAAAAACGGTTAGTAGAAAGATAAATAAAATCAGGGAAAGCTCTCCTGTGAGAGTATGTTATAAGAAGAGACTAAAAAGAATATACCACTGACTCAGCCGTCCTGATTTCCTGGCGGGCTGTGTGAGAACATAACCCACAGCCTTCAACACAAACTCCACATGAGGATAAAAACATATAAAAGTAGTAAGCAGATCGAGGTCGGGGGAAAACATTGTCAACATCAGAAAGGCTTGAATCACGGAGAGACATCCGCTTTGTTTTGGAACTGACAAAACAGACAACTAACGTTACTGCAAAGCACGTGAAGTATATTGGGATTTTGTGCTTTAGTTGGCTCAAGTTAGATAACGGTAGTATTTAGCCTCTTTAAGAAATAAATGACCATTTGAACACAGCTTTTGTGGTAAATGGCCGAAGTTTCAGTGTGTTAACACACTCCAATTATTGTACATTCTTCTAAGGGAGAACATGTTTACATTATACCCACAGTCTGTTTATAAAATGCATACATACATACACATCCCTTCTATTTCACTAGCTTTCATTCCAAAATGTTCTCATAGCGGAGTCTCTGTTTAGTTTTTCTGAAAAGCTACAAGTTCAACATCCAAGTTCTCACTCATCCGTGATTGGAGCAACTATTTAAACTCACCATCTGAAACGCTGACCTCAAAGTCCCTGAATGATTCTGGAACCGAAGTCCCGCCCAGACCACACCTGTACCGTCCTGAGTCAGACTTGGTCAGATTTGTGATGGTCACAGACACAATTCTTCTTCCAGAAGATCCATCTCTGTATTCAATGCTGTATCTGCCACTCTGAGCTCTGACATCATCTGTTTTAACCAGAATATCTTCTGCTTTACATTCGTTCTTACAGAAGAACTTCCTGCTTCCAGAGAGAGTGAAGTAGCAACTAATTGCACCAGTTCCTCCCTCAGCTCCTGCATAAATGTCGAGTTTTGCGCTGACGAGCCCAGTGTTTCCACCACACAGTGCTGTTGGAAAGGTGAACAGAGAACCCTGATGGTCAGTACTTCCTGTGTTGTACACTGACTGTAAAACAGACTGCAGGTTAATGAGGGTGGTGTAAGAGGTGACAGAAGGTCCAAGGAACAATACAGAGAGATCAAATGAGCAGAAGAGGTGAATGAGATGAGATGAACTGACTCTACAGCAGTTGTTATGGTGGTTGCTGTTTGGTGCACTTTTAGCCGTTTTCAAATTCACCTACTTTCTAACCTGAACTAGATAAATGAGCAGCAATTAATAACGGATGATGAATATTAACTTTTTTACATTTCATTGCAGTGGACTGGATCAGATTGTGGAAATGCTGCAGCAGAAACTAGTAACAGAAAACATCAGAGAACAACAGGACATCTGAATAAGAACACAGCAACTGAAAAACATTTATCATCCAACATTTGGACAAATGTCCAGCAGTGTGTGCTGCAGCTTTAAAGAGACAGTCAGGTAATCAGTCCTCACCTGAGAAGAAGCAGAAGAACAGAACACAGTGGATATTCATTCTGAATTAGATACTGATGGAGACAAATCATTCAACTGCAGGAGAACTGCCTCTATCACTTCACTCCTTCCCACTCTGTCTGATCAGTCAGGAAGATGAATGTGGTTTAACTTAACATTTCCTTCCTCTATCTCTCTTTCTGTATCTGTTGGTTTGCTATCTTTAGTTTCATCCACAATATGCTGACTGAATATATTATTAAATCATACACTTAAAAAACTAAGCAAGTGGGGGTAGTGATAGCGCAGGGTATAATACACATACCTTTGGTGTGAGAGACCCGGGTTCAATTTCCCTCTTTAATATATCCACCAAGGTGTCCCTCAGTATAGCAGTTGTAAGTCTCTTTGGATAAAAGCGTCAGCTCAATAAATGTTAACCCATGTCCTGTTCAAATTTAAATACAAATGGTCGGATCAGTAAGTACGTAAGCCCTAAGTGGCCATCGATTCAAATCTTTTTCTTACTCCGTTTTCCCGTGATAACAAGATAATTATCTCATGACCTCGAGATAACGACTGTTGTTTTCTCATGATCTCAAGATAATGAACCATAACTGAACACAGCAGGTGCATTTCTTTACGATAATTTCATGGTCCTTGGCAGTCACTGGTTAGCTCAGTTGGAAGTGAGCTGGATTGCAGGTTTGACTCCAGCTCTTTGCATTTTCTCTTATTCTTTTTTTGTGTGTGTGTTTTTTTTAACATTCTCTTCAACAAAGTTGTTATGAAGAGATTCAGGGGAATCCAATCACACATTTTCAGATGGGTATTTCAAAGTTTCTGAAATAGCTGCCAGGAAATGTGTAGTTAAATGGATCCCCATGAATGAGAAGCAGATGAATTGCCTCTGCCTGGGAATGATCCATGTCCATATGTTGATGAATGTGGATAGCCAGGATGCGCACGATCCAGCACGTGATTAATTGTGAGCATGTGAATCACTTATCTTCATAAGAACTTTGTTGAAGAGGATTATGAAAAAGTTTGCCTTCTATGAGAATTGAACGCACAATGTCAAGACCAAGAATCTTATACTCTGCTGACTAAGCTAATCAGTCTCACTGAACACGAGATCATGAGAAAATTATCCCGTTATCACGGGAAAACGGAGTAAAAAAAAAAAAAAGATTTGAATCTATGGCCGCTTAGGGCTTCTGTAAGTAAGAGACTTACTTGTCCTAGCTTTTATCTCAAGTGTTGGTTAACACACACTCAATACCCAAACTTCTCTATTTTTTCAAACCTCAAAACCAAAATATCCTCCAGCAGCATCGAATGTAGGCTTTCTGTCCCACACAAAAATGTTTTTGTACTTTTTCCATTAACTGAATAAAGGTATCTTATTTACTTTAAATAACAAAACAAAATTAAATAAAAACTCTTTATTTTAGAATAACAGGGTTATATGTAAATGAAGAAACACATGACAGGAAAAGTTGCAGTCAAGACTAATTATATACGTAAAATTTATGCTTTAAAACAACTGAAACCTCCACCTCTCAGTGACTTTATTTACGTCCTACCTAATATTTACTTTGTCCTGACGTTTAATAACAAAACAATGATCTATTAGTCAGATGAACAGTTTAATTTAAAATGGAAATAAGCTTTGGTTGCAGCTTTATTTATTCATTATAGATTAATAAAGACATTGATGTAGCACCTACATTTTTATTTATTTATTTCAACTCTTTAGGTTTAACTTAATGATAAGGAAGTTAAAGTACATCTAGTTCACAATAAAGATAACTGAAATATTGCAGCATTAAAGAGAGTCAAGTAATCAGCAAATAACCTGTAACATGTATATGAAAATACACAATCAAGGACAGTCAAGCATATAGATACATATGCATTTAAACCTACTAATACTTATAAATTGTATTGTGGTACATTATATATAATATACTGTGAGAACTACTAATAAATATTATCTTAATCACAAGTATATTTTGTTGGACAAATATGTTAAATTCAACTTTACTAATTAATTGTTGACTGCTTAGCTCGGATTGCAAGAGTACAGAGATGAAGTGAGGAAGACGTTTTTTTTTTAAATACAGTTTTATGTTTTAGTGTGTCTCTGCAGTCTCTTCTGCCCTGACATTTGCTCAACCTCCAGAGACCTACTGTTGTACATGATCATATTTCAGATTATATATGTTGATTCCCAGTAAAGAGGAAGCGAAAGTTCGCTCTTGCTGGCAACTCAACCCTTAAGATAAATAAAAAAGGCGTCTGAGGACGCGTGCGTGTAGCTCACACGAAGGGAAGCGTGAAAAGAGGTGTGAAGATAAGAGGAGTTTTCAGCTTTAAATTTATATTATTCTGAGTTTATAATATTCTGTAATAATTTTTAAAACTTGTATTTTGAGATAACATTCTCTATACGTATCCCCTGATGATGTCAAAATTATTGTTTTGAACTGCAAAGAAGGCATATTTGCTAATGTGACAGTTGTGAAGAGACAAGCAGCCTTATCTGTGGTTAAAGGAGCAGGAGGAAGGCCTTTTCTCTCCTTTTTAACGTCAGAAAGAAATGAGAGCAGGATGAGTGTTTAAATGACTTGATTTAATGTATTCTGCATTTGGAGTGATGCATTTAAAACGTATTTTCATTTGTACATACATTTAAGATTACGTAAGAGATGCTGAGCACGTGCACTCAACTTCTTTGGTCGACCATGGCGAGGCCTGTTCTGAGTGGAACCTGTCCTGTAGAACCGCCACCGTGCAGCAGCTCAGTTTCAGGATCTTCTTATAGCCTAGGCCATCAGTGTTGTTTTGGTGATGTCTGTGTTTTTCAGTTATCTGCAGACAGCATGATTCATGGCAGGACGACAAAAACAGCTTTTTACATTTTTCATTCTTTATTTTGTTTAGAATCCACATCAGTGTACTAATAATATAAGATTTAACACAATGACTTACTCAAGATAAGCTAGCTGCCCAGCATCCGTGTACCTACTTTGTATATTGCATTATTAGAACATATGATAATTTGACATGACATGGTAAATAATTCAATTACATTATGAACATTACAACTTTGGCACTGTGTAAGCCATTTAATTCATCATAAACAGCAAGAAACCATACTGTGTGTGTCAACTGTGTGTGTGTCACAGTTTATTAGTACTTTTGACTCTTTAATGAGTATTTATCTGAGTTCGCAGTGACAAAAAATTAAAGAACAAAATGTGCCAGCAGCTTACTTTAAAATATTTCTTGTCTGAAGAAACACCATCCACAACAACGATTTTGATGCTCTCGAGGGCTGATGACAAAGACCTGGTCAGCTGTGTGATGCTCACAGAAACATTTCCTGCTCTTTCATATCTGATGAAGTATCTGCCTCTCTGATCTCTGACACGAGTTGTTTCAGTGAGGATGTCCTCTGGTTTACGTTCTTTGCAGAAGAACATCGAGCTTCCATATGAAGAAAAGGGGCATGTAACTCTGATATGTCCTCCTTCAGTTCCTGTATGGACAGATGTGATCTGGTCATTGGTGAGACCAGTGTTTCCATCCTGCAGAGCTGTTGAAAAGATGAACAACAATAGTTACTGTCTGAACTTCCTGTAAGATGCTGCAGTCTGATCACAACATTTGCTGCTTCACATTTACCGTAAAACTTCAATTAACAGCCGAGTCCCAAATAGCCGTCTGTCCCGTTTACTGGCCTCATGTGGATAAACATTTTTGATAAATAAACGCAGGTCTCCACTAGACCCCTGATTTGGTTTTTACAGTTCTGGTTCTTTGGATGTTTAAAACCACTCTTACCCGTGTAGCCAGCATGGTACAAGAGAAAACAATGCAGACTCCCATTACCTTTGAAGCGCTCATTAAGTCGAATGTGTCCCTTCTTTTATTACCGATAAAAAGAATCAAAACAGCTTTTCATAAAAAATAAGTCCGTTGCTCTCTGTCTGCTAACTTCTGCCACACTTCTCTCATCCTGCACTGTGTTGTTTGGTTTGTTTTCATTACATTGCTTCCTACAAAATAAAAGTGCATAAGCCATCTGTCAGAGCTAGATCAAACTAATTTGATATAATATTTTCTATACCAGTAATATTCATACTGTTTGAAATGCAAAAGAAATTAAAGGCCTTTCCCATATGGACGTCTGTCCCAGGGTCAATTCAGTGATTTTAGCAAATCAAGCCAATTTCTTATATTTAATTATTTTATAATTTAGATGATTTATTTTGAGAATAGTCTTTTGGATTTATTGATTGCTCATGTATTTAGCTGATCTGATTAACTTAGGTTTCAGTCAGCTGTGGAAAGAGGAAGAGGTGTGTCTAAAGAGGTCTTTTGGGTCTGAACCTACGGGCAGAAACTAAAGTCATGACCTCATATTTAGTTTGACAGTATTTTTGTTGTTTTAAATTTTGTAATCAAAGGAAATGAGCGACTCTTATATTTTGATCACTTAAACGTGAGAGTCAGACGTAGAGCCCTGTAACCTGGCACAGCGGTTTTAAATTGAAAATGGACAAGACAAAGTCAAAGACTTCGGAGCTGCTGGAAGAACCGCTGTTTGGACGTTTTTGGAGCTGTGACAATGAAAGAAGGACGCACTGGACGGAGCATAATCAGCTGATTCCCCAGTCTACAGATGCCCTGTGAACAAGGTAACCGACTCAAGCCCGTGAGTAAATTACTTCATGGAAGAAAGTTGAGGAACTATAAACAAACTTTAAAAGATGAACAATGAAAAGAACGGGATAAAATGTCGGAATGTTTCTAAATGGAAAGATGGAGCCGAGTGAAACGTTAAAAATCAACATCTGAATTAAAATGCTGATGGAAACAAAAGACTTTGATAAACTGTGATCGGATCAAAGAACCATGACGTCTAAGAACAGTAACACAGAGGAAAAGGAGCTAAAAACTCTCAGAGGTCACAGGGGGAGACTGGGTGCGTGCACACACATAACTAATGAGCTCAAATCACTACTTGGAGACGGTGGAAATACCGAAAAGGTGTTTAATGGGGTGGAACAATTAAAAGGGATGCTAAACGAATTTAAGGACACTAATG